ACGCCCCCCCCCCCCCCCCCCTATCGCTTAATATAATTTCAAGTTTTACTTATTTATTCAATATATTTATTGTTCTATTTAATTTACTTAATAATTTATGTAATAAATTCAATTTTTAACATACAAATTTTTCTACACTTTCAACGGTTATTATAACATGTATAAACAAATTTGGTCTAAGTACGAACTTAACGATAGTTCAATTCAATTTAATATAATTAGTTACTCAAATATGTAATTTTAACCCTTTAAAGAGAATGTTTTTTTTTTTTTTTTTTTTTACATTAATTCAAAATTATCCATACAAGATCCACGTTTATATGCAAATTAACTGTTTTATTAACATTATTTTCATGAATATGAAACAAACTTTGTAATGTTCATGAAATAATATGTTAACTTCCGAATAGATGTAAGCTTTTATTACATTAACGAACTTGATAAAATTATTTTATGTTATTTAATGCAGATAAAATGAGTATCAACACTGTTAAAGACGTAATTTTAATAAGTTGAAGATTCAGCACCAATGCAAATTATTTATGACCTATTTCTCCAGTATTCGATAACCTTTGCTTTGCCAAATAGCTTACAAAATATAAAAAAGAATTTTATTACCTAAGTCAGTTTTAAATTTTGAAACTTTAATATTAATAGTTTTATGTTATACAAATGTTTCAATTTTTAATGTTTGGCTTTAATGCTTTTTTGCCTTCTAACTAGCACAATATTAATCATCAGATACTTGTAAGTGTTAATATTCTTGAAGCATTCTTAGATTATCTTATATATGATATTTTTAACGTGTAAGAAGTCGATATGTGCATCATAAACAAACATATGAATCGTGATAAATATTCCATGCATTGGTTTGAATAACAAAACCATAAAATGACAATTAAAGATAATTCAAAGATACTTCGTGCACGTAAATTGGTTATTCTCACTATTTAAATCCAGATTTCTACTACAAATGAATTAGATATACTCTACCAACCATATTAAGACGTCTTGTTGTTATTTAGAATATTTAATAAAAATTTTTAAAATGAAAATCCTCTTAAATTTAATAATTTTTCTTGCATGTATAATATTCGTCCACGGTATGTATTCGATTGCATAAATGCTTATAAACCTGCAATAACTAAATTATAATTTATTTTCTATTCTACAGGAGTTGGTACCGACGGTACGTGCTGATTATCATAAATTACTTTTTCATTTTATTATTATATTTATTAATTATTACTTAAATTTGCATATATCTTTATTATTGCCTCCTATAATAAGAAAAATGAAAACAGTAAATTTTAATTGTAAAGTAAGGTAACGATAAGTGTGAAAAAAATGTAAAGGAAGAAAAATATAAGCTAGTTATTACAAATTGAATTTATATTCTAACATAAAGTATGTGTATTTTATATCAAGCAATAATTAATATTTTAATTAAAGGATATTATTTTTTGTAAGAGGTAAGGGCATTATTTATTCGCAGTATATTTTCGTAGATGTGTTTATTATATTACATTCGCATAATATATTCGCATTATAGGTGATATTATAACTATCATTAATAAAGCAATTATATTTAATCTAACGAATTTAACAATAAAGAAAGTACCTTAATTTATATTATTTTCAGTTACTAAACGCTTTACTGTCCAAAATAGAAAAAAGATTAAATTTTAATTGAATAGAATACAGATGAATAATAATTAAACAAGCCATATAAAATAGAATACTCTAGATAATTTATTAACATTAATTAAAAACCAATTTCTTTTTATTATATAATGTACATTATTGTGCATTCTTAAGTTTATTACATACTATTTTAATTAGTTTATATACTAATTAAAATAAATTTATTACAAATATCAATAAGAAATTACCTAACTATCTAAAACTGTTATGAAATAAAAAGTTTATTATCAAATAAAATGAGAGTTAGCAATTACATTTTATATACAATTAATTAATTGATTAATGTAATTATGTAATCAAATTAAATACTATAGTTCTTAACATATTTTTAATAGATTAAAATTGGGTCAATTTATTGAATATCGATATCCTATGTATAAATTAATTTAACTTTAACAAAATAAAAATAAATTCATTAGAATACTAATGAATCAAATTATATGAATAAAATTTTTGTCGTATAAAATTATAAATATTTGTATTTGACATTTAAAATTTTTTCCAGAATCTATACTTGTTTATCAACTAATAATTTAATATCTAAAGCAAAGAAATATTTAATATAAAGGCTTTTATATCCTATTGTATATTTTCCGTGTGTGAGCGTGCGTGTGAGTGCGAATTTGTGTATTTATACCAATGTTATTAATTTGGATTATTAATTGTATGTTTTCCAGGAGCTGGTCCAAGTAAAGGTAAATTTTTCAGTTCTGGTTCAACATTTTTATTGAATGAATATTATCTTTCATAACATAATACAATAAATGCTTCTTATACATATGAAATTATCTTATTTAATTAATTGCAATAAAGAATATGCTTTTTTCAATAAATGCTCTTCACACACACACATATATATATATATATATATATATACATACATAATATAAAGTATTATCACTTATAATTTTATTGATAAAATAGCCGATAAGCCGATACTTTTATAAAATAAAAAATTATTAATTAACTATCGTCAAACTTATTTGGATTAATAAATTAAGAGAATGTAAATTTATAAAAATATCTACATATTATAACATTTTGTTATGTAGTTAAAAGTGGCCATGGTCATCCTAAAGGTCATCCCAAAGGTCCAGGTAAGCAGTCAATTTATTTGATTTATTTTATTATTTTACTTATTGACCTATATAATATTAAATTCAAAATGTCTTGTATCTTTAAGTAACATAATTAATGCACATCATTCTATATATTCAGACTGTAGTGGAGAAATTTGAAAAAAAAATTACTTTAAACACTCAAATACTTTAAACCTACAAATAAGTAATGTCAAATTTTATCGGGAATAGTCATTTTAGTAAAACGTCATTCTATCTAAATATCAATTTTAGAAAAATTTATGTTAAATATTCATTAAACATAAATAAAACAATTCCTAAAATAAAAGAAAAAAAAATCGTATAATAATAATTTAAGAAGATATATTGAAAATAATTGATCATTGCTTAATTTAACTTGAACTTTCAAATACAATTTTTAATTCTTATTTTCACGCTGAATTTCTTCTTATTTACATTAATTTAAAATGTTTGAAGTAAATTCTTCATATTCTCATAATCCATAAATGTATTGTACATTCTTTTAACTACAATTTTTATCGTACAGGACATGCTGGCAAAGGCGGCGGCAAAGGTAGTGGCCACGCTGGTAAAGTATGCTGGTAAGTACACTTGTAATGTTTGTATAATTATTGTACTCAGGTTAATAAACTGTTTGAAATAAAGTTAGATTTTAGCACATTCATTTTGAGGATAATAATGTTAAAATAATCTCTGAATTATTAAATCGATCGATTTGAGTGAAGAAAGCGTGAGGCGCTGTTTGTACATTGTATGTACATTGTATATAAATTAATTTCTATTGTATTACACATTGAATGTGCCTTTATAAAAAAAAATTGTCTTTCCGCTTACTTATAAATTGTTTATCAATAGAAACAAGGATTATGTGAAAAAAAGTAGAAGGGATATATAGGATATACATTAATTATTAAAAAAATTCGTATTATTGTTTTATAACTGGTTAAAACTAAAAATGGATTTTTAAATTTAAATTAAAAATTTTTTTTTTTTAGATTTTTAACATCTTAAAGTGAATAGGCTGCTTATGAAAATTATATGTTACATGATTGTAATTATTTTAATAAAATACCTCTCTTTATTTTAGAGTGATATCGAATATGATGAGCCCGGATGAATAATGTAACCTTGAATTTAACAGCTATGAGTAAAAGTTTATAAAAGAAGAAATATTTGAAATACGATATATGTAATTATAGTGATGAAGTTAAAATTAAAATATTCTTTTTTAGTTAACAAAATTACCGTTTTATTATCCAACGAATACACAGATTATAAAAATGTACTTGAAAATTGCATTCTATGCACGAAATAAATATATGTTAATAGTGAATATTTGCGAAACTACATTTTTCTATTGAATTCGTAACAGTTAATTCAATTATAAATTTTAATATAAAACTATGATTTCCGTCCAAGAACATTAATGATGAAATATTTTATTTATTACTGATTTAATATATTTTAACAAAATTTCATAATTACAATTTATAATTATGTTTTAATGGCATTAATTTTAATGAAGTTTTTAAATACTTTACTTAAGTTTACTTTTTTTAAATTTTTGGAACTATTTATAGATTATGGTTTAAAAGAAATTGTTAAATAGAAATTTATTTTTGTTAAATTTCATTACGAATTTGCTCGCTCGTGAATTCGTTATAATTCCTTAATTTCTTTCTCATTGGATATATTGCTAACATTAAAAATAAATAAGCTGTAAAAAAAAAAAATATTTTACAAATTCTATGTGATTATTTTATTTTGTTCTGATCAATAATTATTATTTTTATATGTTTTAAGTATCTAAACGTATCGCGATTATTACCAACATTTTTAAATTAAATTTCTAATTCACAATTTTTTTTGTTTTTTTATTTAATTCTTAAATATTTATAAACAAAAAAAAAACAAAAAAAAACAAAAAAACAACCAATATTTTATCTTTCTTATGCAATAAAGCAATCTATAAAAACATAATTAAAGAGGATTATTATAATCATTCTAGACCTTATTCGATACATTATTATCATTACAGTAATATTATTTATATAATTTTCTAAGTCACTAATTATTTAAACAATAATAATAAAAAATAATAAAAATGAAATCCTGCATGAATAATGGTGAGAGGCGTACTTTTAGAACTTTTCACCGAATGTCAGTTGTTCGTGACATTTGCATTCCACAGCAATGGTAGGCTTAAACCTACATTTTCAAATTCATAATTATAGAAATGAATTATTTTTCTGTTTTAACTGAATATTCTTTTTATTTAGGAACAGATGGGCCATGTTTCAAAAGGCTATCTATACATTTAACTAGCAATTGTTTTATAATGGCATGGCTATTAAACGAAATTATTATAGCAAATATAATAAATTAAAAGAAAAATACCAATTTAGGCACACAATATGACTGTATGTCAACATTATTACTGTTTTATTAGTATTTGAATGGAAAAGGGTTTATTTCAATTATATCGTTCTTCTAAAAATCGTTACCATATTATATGCCATCAATTGATCTAGTATAATACAAATGATATATCGAGAAGACAATTAAATTATTTAAATATGTAATAAGAAAATAGAATAATTAACAGTTACTACGTTCATCAAGTAATTAATCATGTAGACGATTCAAAACAACTATATCGATTATATTTATATGAATTTGATTGTTACTTTATCCTTGTGCGAGCCAGGCAAAATGATGAAGGTAAAATTATTTTTGAAATTAAATAAGAAAAACAACATATTATTAAAGAATTGCCAGTATATGAATACAACAACAACAATATCGCAAAAATCACTAAATCTCTATTATTCAGCAAGCTAACGAGCGAAATAATAAAATTCTAATGTATTAACGAAAAAATAGGCATTGGCTAGTTTTTTCGGGATGAGCATTCGCATGACATAGTTTTAGAAATAGCACGAGCGAGCGGCTGCTACGATCATTGACGCTTTCGGCGCGTATGATGAAATAATTTCAAGGTATCGCCGTAACGCATACTATTTAAATCGCCATTAGATCATATTTAAAAATTTTCTATTCCGTAGTACTTGAGCCGGTTATTTGCACCGAAAGGGAATGTCTGGGCTCTGTGATGTAAATTTGTCATTTAACGTATTATCCGACTAGTTAAGATATTATAATAGTTAGATAATAATGAAAATTTTTTTCTCTCAACATTTTTGGCAATAAAGTTATAAAATGTGTTTGAAACTTAACCTCGACAATCATTAAAACTTCATTTTTTGTATTGAAATTTATGTGCATATATATAAGTCGAATTTTGAAGTCGATTATTCATATTCATGCTTTGTTACTGTAAAATAACCGTTTAAATGAGCGTCGTTAACGCGTAGAATATTAGCGCGTCTTCTATTAATTCGAAAATGTTCAAGTTCTCTAAATTTTCTAAATTTATTTATCAAAAATAAAGAGTACAATTCATAAAAACTAAGTATTTATGGAGGATTTTAATTACAACGAAGAATAATAAGAAGTAGAGGTTAAACAATTAATTAAAACGAAATTAAAGTATAAACTTGCCTTTTTTTTTATTTACTCAATGTTCCTTTTTTTTTTTTTTTTTTTTTTTTTCGAAGACGTAAATGAGAATATAATAAAATTCCCTTCAAATTCATTTTAAATATTTGTCTATTATATTATTTAATTAATTATTGTATAAATGTTCAAAATCATATTTCAAAAAGTTTATAAAGAATATAAAACATTATTTAATTAAAAATTAAATTCTTTTTTCTTAAAGTTTTATTATGCCGAGCCGATTATACGTAAGAACGATCATAGGTCATAAAAAAGAATTTCCAAGTACGGTGGAGATTACATAACAGATGCTATAGAAAACTATTGTTTGAAGTAAATAGTCTTGATATAAAAAGAATGTTAATGCTCTTGAAGGTATATTTTTCATAATTTAATTTTCAATTCAAAATTTTTACTTCATTTATGGAAAAAATGTTTAATCAAGGTAATGAATGATGCGAGCAATAAAATTAAATTCACAAATGTAATCAGTAGTCTATTATTTTTCATGAATGGTATATTAAATATATATACTGTCTGCATTACTTATAGCAATGAGCTTTCATAAAGGAAGAGTATATTTAGTTCTAAAAAATATTTATGAAAAACATTAATAAGTGTTTATTTTACAGGCAGATATTTTTTAATAGTTGTTAATATTTCTTACATATATTTATTATATGAGACTTTTGAATTATTTATTTAAAAAAAAAAAAAATAGTCTTTGCGCAATACTACACTTTTGAATCTACCAAGTTTATCCATATATAATAAACTTAGATTTTAAATAAAAATGAAAGACAAAAATTAATTATTAATGTATTTAATTCACAATTGATTTTCTGCAGCTTGCAAAAAAGGAGAAAAAAAATCGATTGAGAAAAATAATTTCTCAACAATCTCTTATGAATAATTATTTTTAAAAATTCATCCATAAATCATCGGGTGTATCATGACAATTATTAGTAAAGTTTGCTTGTGATTTAAGGGAATCATTTAAAATTTGGACTATAAGTCAATTAGTAGATTAAATTATTTTTATTTCTTTTATCTAATTTCGTATCGGTGATGTTAAGGTCACATGGTGGATAAAATAATTTAATCGTGTAACATTATTGAAATTGCCGTCATGAGAATGTATGAAAAGTTATATTATTTTACTGCAAAATATCTATACTTCCATGGGAATGAAATAAAACATGTGTCAATTTATTATCGATTAACTATAAATAACTTGCATGAAATTGCTAGAGTATCAATTGGGAATGGGAAAAATCATTTAAATAAATGATATATTGGAATGTATAATATATAATTTGCATCTTTCATTACGTATTTATTGTCCCCGTCGTGAGAATATATTTATCTACATATTATCTCTGAATGCAGAAGAAAGAACAAAAAACAAAAATTGAATAAAATTAATATTGTATATATAATTATCGAAAACGTTTATAATTTATACGTATATACATAATTTTGTTATTGCATAGATTCAGTCACTTGTAAATAGGAATTAACGACGAGTGTTTTATTAACATTACGGTTATATGCTAAATTTTATGATGTGAGCAGTGATAAATATTTTCCATTAAAATAAAGGGACAAAATAGATTTTAAGAGTGAATTTGATTGTTTACCATGTGAAAGATAAAATTTTGATCTTTAAAAAGGTCGAGGTTAATTGCTTGCTCCTATAATGCACTTCGATTTACGTATGATTTGAAAATACTCAAGTCTAAGAATGAGTGAAAGAAGGCGAGACTAATGAGAGTGTGAGGCAGTAGCAGGAAAATGTACTTGGATGGAAAAAATAAGGAAAATTACGTTATCGTAACCCACGCATAACAATATGCCATGATAATAGCGAACCGAAATTTTGGATTCGAAAGCGCGCCCGTGTCGAGGAGTCGAATTACCCCCAGGTGAGGGGACCGGCTGAGGGGGCCAGCCGAGGGCCGGTCGAGGGTGCAGGCAATGTCGCTCTCCTGCCGTGGCCGACGCACGCAAATGCATCGGTGCGAAACCGACGCCGTCGTCGTCGCGAGCAGCGCATTATGGTGGGGGGTTGGCTTGGCGAGTGGCAGCAGGGTTTGGGGTCGCTGTTGGCCGCCTCCGGCGCTTAGTTTGGCTCAGTTCCGCGGTGTGCACGGTGCCGGTCTCGTCTCCTTTATCCCTTCGCATGCGCGAGTGCCGTTGTAGCCACCCCCTCCCAGCCCGCTGATGCGTATCGCCAGCTGGCCGAGAAGACGGCGGGAAGGTGGCGCGTGTCCTAGATGCTTCCTAAGTGATTCGACGCCTTGTTTTCGTAATCGCTTGTGAGTGATACGTTAGCACCAGTCAGCCAGCATGGGATATTATCCGAAATGTTGTTCTTTGCTAATGTCATTCCTCTTGGTTATCGCTTACTTTCAAGGTTAGTGACGCGTCGTTTATTTTCATTTGTCGACTCGGCGGATAGCCTTTAGTGACTTCAATTGGATTATTGCCGAGTATCATGTGGCATTATGCCGATGATAGAATTTTATAGAAAAGACGAAACATCATTCTTTGACATATTACTTTAATAGGCCATAATTAATTAGTAAGTAATATGATTATTTGGCATATCATTGTAATAATTACACAGTTGCCAGAGGTTAATTCGTAAAATTAATAATTCGGGGAAATTTAATTTTTTTTCACGGTACTACGGTTATAAATTTGACGATTGTGTGTGGGGGTGCGATGTGTGCGTGTGGTGTGCGTGTGGTGTGCGTGTATGGGTGCGTGCCTGCGCGTGTGATATATGTGCGTGTAGGTCGCTCGAATGAAATCAAAAATATTTTAATATTTAATATCTAAATAATTTTAAGAAAATTTTCATATAATACATTTGAAACATTAACTGAAAGTAGAACATGTTTGATTTGATATTACAAAAATTTTTACATACCCGTTATATAATAAAATTAACACTACTAAATAGAAACACTTCTCTACAATTAAATTCTGTGAATGTAATAAAATTCTACGAATTATAAATAAACACACAAATACGTTACTTGATTAAAAAAAAAAAAAAAAAAGTTAAAATCCTTAGAAATATAGATAGTTACTGGTAGATTTCGGCTAAACTTATGCTATACACGTGTTTTCCCTCTATCTCTCTACTCACTCGCAGTCTGTGCCTCTCTCTCTCTCTCTCTCTCTCTCTCTCTCTCTCTCTCGCTCTCTCCATCTATCGCACACTCTTTTACTCTTTCATTTTCTCATTCTTCCAGTGTCTACTTCCTTCTCTGGCTCATGCTGTAGGCAATAAAAAGCATACACATACGTACACATGTAAATTCTATATTGCATGAGCCATTTAAAATATTTTTTTTATTTTTCAAGTCTATATTTAAATGCGTTTATTAAATTAAGATTTATCAGGTATACATAATTTGATCTTATTATAATAAACGTTGTATGAATTATATAAATCAGTTCTACAATATTCCAGTCTCTAATATGAATATATTATAAAATATTCAATAGTGTTGACAAATGATATAAACAAAAGAACGATTTATTGTACGCTTTTTCTACGGTATGGTATCTGTTATTTTCTATGATTGGCCGATTAATGCAACAACGCGTTAATACATAGGATTTGTAAAAAAATAATATACTAATGCATTCGATTTATTGAAACCATTTTGTGACGTATAAATATTTATTACTTCTTATCTTTAGTTGATGATCAATTCCTATTGAATGTAAAATGTATGTAAAATTTATTATAATAATAAACCGTCAGTATTTGACATCAAGTTGATATGTCACCTATGATAAAGATATTTAACATTCGTTTTCTTTTGTCCTATAAAAAAATGTGGAATATAATCGCGCGGTAATTGATAGATTGTAATTAGTTATAAGGAGAATATTAGAAATGAAGAATCAGTGGTATGCGTATCGTCTTAAGCACACGAGCACGAGGCAAATTTAAAGCTAAATATCCCAAGCTGAGGGATTAAGAATGAACATAAGAGGAGAAAAGCAGACGGAAAATATAAAAGGATAGAGCTTGAGACATATATATATATATATATATATATATATATATATATATATATGTCTGTCTCTCTGGGTGTGTGTGTGTGGCCTTAAAATTTTTTCTACTATATCAAGCATTGCACAAACTGTAAATAAGCGCGTCCGTTTTACGATGTTACTGCGAAATTGGGTCAGTGTTTGGAAACTTGAATATAAAAATGTGCGGTAGTAAATATAGACATAGAAAAAGAAGGAAATACATTTGCAGCATTAGTGGAGTGAGAGGGTGGGCAATGCGACTACGAGTAAATACTAACATTAAAATTTTCGTATGCGTATATAGAGTAACTGGATTTCCCTTATGAAGGAAAATTTATTATACAATTCGGTGTATTTATTGTAAGTTTCTTACTATTCATTTGCATTTGAAGAATTTTATATTTACTTTATGCTTATTCTAATTGTCCAATTAAAGTAGTTTCAAATGAACAATCCTAGTTCATTCGTATAGCAGTATAGATTTTTTGCATAATATTATATAAAATTGAATTTTGTAGAATTCATAAAACTCCCTCGTTTACTAATAGTGGTCTACTAATATACTAATAGTACTAGAAAGGCCTTATAATTAATTGAAAATTTCAATATTTAGCATTAATTTTTAGAATTATAAGCCTAGCCAGTATGTAAATATGTATTCTATATTGTAAATTCTATAAATCGAAATTCATTTGACTAATTATTAAAAGCAAACATATTTCTATTAATTTGAACATTCGTAACAATATTAAAAAGGCAAAATTATTAAATTATCTTGCGCCTAAAATCATTGAAATAATTAATATAAATAACAACTTTAAATATTCTACACATTATTATTTATAAAATATAATGGAAAATGCATTTTTCATACAGCATTATAAAGTTTTTACGTTACATGAAAACGATGAACTGGTATAATGAAAATGTATTTTGTCTGAATATTCTATTATTTTTATTTTGTCAGGCGAATGAAGCTTAGCTCCTACAATCCTTTAAAACTCCTCTGACCCTTTTCAATGATCATGCAAAAGATTTTCGAGAAAGAATGAATGAACTCGTGAATTAAAAACGATTCCAGTGATTGAGATGATAGTCTACGAAGTACATTGATCTTACCTTTGATATATTAAAAATTGCTGATAAACGTGCTAAATAAATAAGAAAATTCAATTTTATCAAATAATACAATATTTCATTCAAATTACATATGTTTTATACTATAAATGACCTCTAGTAGTAAAACTGTAAACAAAATTTCATTAATATTTTTTATCATAATTTATTTAGACATTAAATAATTATAGCAAAAATTTTGTAATTACAACAACTTTCATTTAATTATATAAATTTTGTTAATGTATAAATATGAAATTTATTACTTTATTGTGTGTAAAAAAAAAATTTTTTATAATTGAATTTTATAAAAGAAATGAAAAATATTAATATTCAAAATAATTTTATAAAAAGCACACGAGTTCGTAACGAATTTGCATTAAAAATTTTTAATATAAATTTCATTATATGAGCAATGCATAGCAAATATTACCTATGAGTATTTGTTAAACTTAAATAATTTCATTGTTTGTCACTCCCTGCTACTACATAATTCTGTGTTTGGTACAAGAAGCTATAATAATATATTATTTAAAGATTATTAACATGAAATTAACTATTAATAAATATAAACGAATGTTAAAAATAATAATTTATTATTAAAAATTTTGTTAATAAGAATCATAATAATAAAGATTTTGTTAAATTAATTTGCAATCAATATTGAGAGCGACAAATTAGTGTGTTTATTAGTATAAATTATCCAAAATATTATTATTAAAAAATATACAATTATTAAAATCTTAATTTTTTACAAGAATTTTTATCATTAAAATTTGAATTGCTTGATAATCATTGTAAACGATACATATAAGAATAATAATAAACACAATAATATTTTTGCCTTTTCCAATTAAATAATCTATAAAACGCTAATAAATAAAAATAAACCAGATAAATTTTTCAAACATAAAACACATAATAAAATATGGATCAGAAATTTCTCTGTCATTGATTAATAATCGTACATTGCATGAAGCAAAACTTTGTCAAGCTTGCACTTGAACATGTAGCGTTCGTTTTTCAGCCATTCCTATAAACATTTTAATTCCTACTAATTTCAAGCATATGTAGCTTAAACTGTAATATCACTTTGACTATTGTTACACCATAATAAAATTTTATTGAATGACAAAAAGGGTTATAAATATTTGAAAGTCTCATTGCGTATGGTTTTGTTAATCAGGAAAATCACGGTAGGTACTTTGGCACTGCTATTATTCATTATAGAACGCAATAGCCGCCCTCTTTAATTTAAGCCGATCATTTGGGATTAGACTTTGCAATTTATATAAGTTCCCAAATTCATGCAAGTTTTTAATTTATATTGTCAAAAGTTTCTGGATGAACTGTTGCTATGATGAATTGTACTATCAAATGTAAATATTATATCAAATTAAAATTATATAATATTGGATAAAATGTATTAATATATAATCCAGTACTTATCTCAATTAATTAGTATTGAGTTTCAGGGTATTTAAAAAAAAAAAAAAAAAAAAAAAAAAAAAAAAAAATAATAATAATAATAATAATAATAATAATAATAATAAAATAAAAGAGACAAAAAAAAACAATAAAAGAATAAAGCATGATAAAGCTGCATTGGTTAACATTTTTTAATAATTTATAGAATGAAGCCATATTAAAATAGATTATTAACTCAATGTTAAAATATTTGATTATGTATTTAAGCTAAATACTAGTATTTTCATAAGAAAATTTTGCCATCAATTTTATTTGTATAGAAAATTTAATAGGTTATTATTTTCAGTATTAAAAAACTTTAATTAAAATACGCGGAATATTTTTAAAATATTTGAGTTAATTATTTTTGTTATTTCAATGCTATAATGAAAAGATGTTTTAATTTAATATTATATTTAGTAGTGAAAAACTTGATATATTATGTAAATAACAAAAATATTTAAAATAAAAAATGCACTGTCAATATAAAATTTATTTTTTAATTGATTTATATTAGTAGAGAACTTTCGAAGTGCAATGTATAAACATGTAATTTAGTTAAAACAATTATAATAAATCATTATTATATTTTATGCAAAAAGAACGTGCTATATTTCACATACGTTTATGTGAATGATAAAATGGTTAATAAATGAAATAAATTCGAGGTGACATCCATCATACGTTACTAACCTTATTAAAAATTCCCAAGCTTACAGAACAATTCATGTTTTTACATTTTCTACAAATTCATACTAGAATTTATATTTTTTG